GAGAAAAAAGAAAGCAGCAAAAGTAATTATTTCAGTGGGAGATCTCCAAGAACACACACACACACACACACACACACACACACACAATGAAGATGGAACAAAGCTGGAATTATGAAGGAGGAAACCCTGAGCAATGTGTCTCAGCCTCACATTTAGCCATTTAAAAATATCCTGCCAAAGGGTGCATTTTGACAGTGAAAAGATGAAAAGCAGAGGAGGTGAAGGAGCAGTCTGTCACTTTGTGACATCACACTGCAAGCTGAAGTCGATTGAATATTTACAAAAACCATTCAGAGTTAAGAGTTTTTACAAAAGACAAAAACAGCCATCCACACACTGCTGCACGACTGTTTTGAAACGTAGGCTTTTTATAAACTGCATACTTTGGGAAAGAATATGCCTAGCTTACATTTCTCCTGCTTTGTTTAATATCCTCCTAGATAAAGATGTCCGGGGAACTCAAAAGCTTACTAATGACTTTATGTCATTTTTGGTAGGTCAAATAAAGGTATTAGGGAGACTATACTATGATTGCACATAATTTGCCAGGGAGTCATTTAAAGATAGTTGCTTTAAAATTATACATGCAAACAAGGCTCAAGTGTCAGCAATATACAAAATGTTTGACAGGAAATTATGCCAGGGCAGAAATGACTGGCCATGTCTAGGAGCACACAGTCCTACTGCTGATATGTGAAGGTGATCATTTCCTAGATGGGGAGACACTAGGACTCCCATGTAATCCACACTGAGCTTTATAAAGGAAGAGCAAGATATAAATATATACAATATATTATGGAAAATTTGTCGCTGTCTGTTCTCTTTGGATGCTTCCCAATATATTGTTAACAAACTTGTTGTGAGGGTTCCCAAGAAGGGGCAGCAGTTTTCATCTATGTTTGGATGCCAGGTGACATTTTGAATCAAGATGGCTGACCAAAATGTTACTTTGGCATGATTTAGCCCATTTTGGGCACAGTTTCAGCACTTCTTCAGATACAGTGGTACCTTGGGTTACATACGCTTCAGGTTACATACGCTTCAGGTTACATACACTTCAGGTTACAGACTCCGTTAACCCAGAAATATTGCTTCAGGTTAAGAACTTTGCTTCAGGATGAGAACAGAAATCGTGCTACGGCGGCAGCGGGAGGCCCCATTAGCTAAAGTGGTGCTTCAGGTTAAAAACAGTTTCAGGTTAAGTACGGACCTCCGGAACGAATTAAGTACTTAACCCGAGGTACCACTGTACTATAATCAAACTTGACAAGAGGGTTTCCAAGGTGGGGGTGGTGGATTTCTTTGATGATTGGATGCTGGGTACCATTTTGAACAAAGATGGAGGACCAAAAAGTGACTATTGTGTTACTTTACCTTTTACCTGGTATTACAGGTCCAAAGTACACAGATTTGAACACCTCTGGAAATATTGTCACTCAGTCTGGCAGGACAGTTCCAATCTGCACCAATTTGAGTGCCTCTCAGTAAATTTTTACTAAACTCAGCACAAAGGTTCCTGAGTTGGAGGTGGCAGCCTTTGTCTATATTTGAACACCAGCTACTATTTTGAATCAAGATGGTAGACCAGATTAACGCTTTAAACATTACCCCTACCACCACCCACATAATCCATGCTGGAATTGCTTCAGGGTGTTATTATTGGTTTGTTTACTACCCTAGGTTCTTTTTGGGAACAAGGCCGTAGTAGTAGTTGTAGTAGTAGTAGTAATACTTCATTGAGCCCCTCCTTCTCCCAACAACTTTGGAACAAGCCAGAAAAAGGCACTAATGAAGATAATATTGATGATGCCTCTGTACTGCGTCCCCCCCCCCAACAGCTTTCAAGCAATTCCTGCTGCATGGCATGCAACAGAACTAAGAAAATGTTGCCATATCCTCCCCTCACCCTTATATTCAGGCATCAAAGCAAACACAGCAGCAGCAGGACATTATTTCTGAATTTCTTCCTTCACCTCGCTTTTCAAAAAGCCCTTCAAGCAGCTGCCTGCCACATGACTAGCAAGCAGCAAAAGGAAAGAAAGGTGGTTTCCGTGATTTCCTCCCTCCACAACACAAAAAGTAACTTCCTGCCTACTGCTCCAGAAGGCTGCCCAGCAGCAAAACAAAGACAGCAGCGAACAGGTGGACTCTCTGCTTCTTCCCACACTACTCCACACATCTCCACAGTCCATAAGCACCACCAGAACAGCAGCCTGCTGCTTTTGCCCCACGAGGCTACTTTTTTCTCTTCCACTCTTTCATTCTTTTTTTTTTTTAAAAAAAAAAACATTTCATGGACAAGAAAGCTTCTCCCCTCCCCACTTTCAATGAGCTCTTCCATGGGAAGCAAAGTACCTCAGTCAACACCCTTAGCAAACTACAGTTCCCAGAATTCTTTGGGGGAACCTATGACTGCTTCAAGTGGTATGATATTGCTTTAAATTTATAGCGCAGGTAGGGCTTATCGGTCCACCTTTCTCTTAAGATGAATTTGCAAGAGCAAGGCTATCTCTACAGCAGATTACACAGTAGAACAGCTCCTGGAGTGTACCGTTTCAGTTTGCACACAAGGGATCTGCATAGAGTATTCATAAACCCCATGTAACATTTAGACAAAAGCATGCACATGGAAAAAGAGCAGAAGATGGAGTTTTGGCTTCTCTTCAGGATTCTCCATCACCAGCAGCCAAAGCCAACACACACACACACACACACTCTTCCCCGCCTCCAGCATGCAAACAAGTTATTCCCCAGACACAATCTTAACTCTTACAACGCATGGACATTATTTTTTACTGTGTTACCTGCTCTTTGTGTAGACTATATTGTATCTATATTTAATCCTGCATCAAAAAGCAATAGAAAACTCTTTTTAAAGAGAAATTAGGTAGGGACTTTTTCACTGGAGACTGAGAAGGAAAATGTCAGCTCCTAGGGATCCCCCCCCCCCAAATAAATTACTATACAAACACAGTTGTAACTTAATCACTGAAAGCATGAAAAATAACAGAAAGGGGGATATTATTGAAAAATATTGTGCTGTGGTGGTGATAGCACTAAATCTGAAAGATCGCTGTATGTGTTAGTCACTACATTAATGCAGTTAGTGCGTTACCAATATCTCTATGAAAAGAACAATTTGTATTTGAGTAAACCTGCAAACACGGCTTATAAATTTGGCCTTTATTTCAGCAAAAGGAGCATTCTATATAATTTTGGTTGTCTGAATTTTATTGTCAATTACTTTCAGTTTCAAAAGAATTTCTTTTACCCTGTTATTCCTGCTAATGTAATGATTCTTTAGCAAACACAGGATTTTAGCTTCTTACTACCATTACATCTTTAGGCAGAGAAATTGGTGCATGGTCTTGTCCCCCGCTTCCAAGGGTGTTTATTGAAGAAATCATTCTGAAAACAAATTGGAGCCATAACAATAGTAATATCAACCAACGGCAACAGCAATTATTTTTAAATAGCCTTTAATATGCAGGTAAGATTTTAAAATGCACTTATTTAGATGTGCAGTGGAATATATTGCTTTTATATCTGCAGTGTAGTGTTTGTTTATTATTAATACAATTTGATTAAATAAATGTAATTTCAGTTTGTTGTAGGGTTTCATATAAAAAAAGAGTAAGTGTATTTTTCTTAAATCAAAGGATTTGTATTCCTTATCGTGTTTGTCCTTAAAGTTTCCCTAGGGAAAAAAATGAGAAGAAACCCTGGAAAGAAAGGGAAAGTTCACTTTGTCCAGGGTAATCCACTGGCTGAGAAGGGATTTGAAACCCAAAACTCTCAATTCCCAGTATATCCTCTGAATACACTTGTCCTCAAATATGTTAAAAATAGTGGGTTGTACATCACTCTCTATGTGCTTTACAATGAAGAAAAAGTTCTGTCGTGTGTGACACATGCTTATTTGTTCCTATGCATGTTGTCTAAATAATAATAATAATAACAACAACAACAACAATATATGCACCTAAACCATGAAGCAGCCTTGGGCATCTAAAGCAATACATGTTTCTTTCAAAAACAAAACACGACTTAAGATAACGCATCTCAAGGTCAATTGAAGCAGGAGCGCACCAGGAAAGAAGTGTTTAAACTGCGGCAGACTTAACAGCTTAACCAATAAAGCTACTCCAGCCTTCAGTCAATGGGAATCAAAACAATGATTTCAAACTATTTTATTCAATCTACAGGCAGGAGTACTGGGTGATGGGAGCCTTCTCCCCCACCCTTTCTTCTGATCTACAGAAGGTAGCCCTTTCTGGGTTTTGTTTTTTGTTTTTGTTTTGTTTTTAAAAAGCTTCCTTTTATAAGGAGTTCAATATGCATACTTTTTTTCATGGCTGCAATCACAAGGATACATATTACATTTTAAAAAATATCTTTTATACTCGTTTTACAGTACTCAAAATCTCTTTCATTTACATTCATTGAAATTCTGCCATTTAGTAACCATTGATTTCTTTCAGATCCATGGCTAAGACCCCTCAAGTTGCCAAAGAGATCAGCTCAGTAATATAATATTTATATATATATTGTAAATGAAGTCATTTGCTGCCATAAGCAGAATAAAGGTAATGACCCAAAATAGGATAAATTGCCACATCAGTCACCATCATTAGGGTTTTCCACCTCTTGAAATAATTTGAAAACTGTCAATAAGGGAATTCAAAATATCACTTCTCCCTTTCTCTCAATCTCTTGCAGCCCCTGCCCTTTCACCCTTGGTTCAGCCTAAGTTCCTAAAAATAATATTTGGGGTTTCAATAGCTATTAAGACATTGTATAACACGACTTTGATTTTATAGTAAATTGGCCTGAAAAACTGTCGCAACTGTTACACTCAAATATGTCCTCTGGGTTTTGTCTTTGGGGGAAACTCTTCTCTCTCTCTCTCTCTCTCTCTCTCTCTCTCTCTCTCTCCTCCCTCCCTCCCTCCCTCCCTCCCTCCCTCCCTCTGTGAGTGTGTGCATGCCATTGTGTGTCATCCAAACAGAGCCTCCTGCCTAGCAAAGGACACTGAAGCTGGGCAGCGGCAGGAGCTGCGTCTCAGGCTTTAAGGACTACAGTAAATCTTCAAACAATTTATCCAAACAAAGGCCAGCGTGTAGAGAGGAGAGGGGAAAAAATACACGGGAAGCAGATGAATAAGCAACATCAATTATGGGGGGTTGACCTTTCTTGCCCCGCACCATGGCACAGATTTCACACCAAATCGCAGCAGATTGAAGTTGACATGCCTGGAGTGAACGCAACGGTCTCCACAATGTTGCCACTCTGCATTCACCGGGGCTGCTGAGAAAAGGAGAGGAGGGAGAAAATAATGGGGAGTGTATGTGTGTGTGTGTGAATGAAAAATCACACATAATGGTCCTGGGTTTATTTTTACAGAGAGCAAAATAGCTCAATTTGAGCACTTAGACGGTCGAAATTGGCTCATGTGAGATACAGAAGGTACATCCAAAGGGACAGTTGAATCAAGGTGCCTTGAGCTACGTGGCCAGAAAAAGGGAGAAAAATTAAACACAGTTTTGGACATACATGTGGCTGGTGGATGCAGTATTAATAAGAAAGCATTGAAGAACATAAAGACTACACATTAAAAGTGCTTTGATATAATAATAATAATAATAATAATAATAATAATAATAATATGAGGGGGTTGCTCATAATCACATGTGTATGTACACATAGACTTTGTTCTGCACATACATGCACGCATGCACACAGACTTTTTGCATGGACACTAATCTGTATTTCTTGCTGAGATAACAAGTGGATCAAGGCAATCTAATCTGAGCTGCAAACATTTGGCTCCTTCTTTGGCTACAATATATAAAAAAGAACCTTCTTTCATTTAAAATGCAGGTTTTATCAGAGATATAAGTCTTGAGAAGAATTGCCTAGAAGAGATAAAACCATTCAACCAAAGAAAAAGCCACATTGACTAATGTGTATCAATTAAAATTCAGGTTCTGGCCTTTGGAACAGTCTATTTAAAGATTTACACACACACACACACACACACACACACGCCGTAGACAGATGATTATTAAATATTTATATGTCTGCAAAAGGCAATGTGAACGCATTTGCTTTGTTTATCCAGGGATACCCCCCCCCGGCATTTATGTAGTTGCTTCATCACCTGGTTATTCACTAAATAGCTCCACTAACAACCATACCTTCTTGCTAGAATGTCAGTAAAAGTTAAATATATACTGGCACACTGGGAACAATCCAAAGGAAAGTGCTCTTATGCAAGCCCCACTGCTCTGGTGCAACTCCCCTTGATTTCCATACACTTGCTTAAGAACTTCCCATTGGATCATGTCCACTGCCTTCATTAAGGGCATTAAAGGGTCTGCTAAGATTTCGTTTCATATATAGAAGAAGAAGAGAGCTTTATCACTGCCCGAAGGAGTCTCAAAGCAGCTAAATTTCTCCTTTCCCTTCCTCCCCCACAACAAACACTCTGTGAGGTGAGTGAGGCTGAGAGACTTCAAAGAAGTATGACTAGCCCAAGGTCACCCAGCAGCTGCATGTGGAGGAGCGGAAACGCAAACCCGGTTCACCAGATTACGAGTCCACTGCTCTTAACCACTACACCACACTGGCTCTCATATAGTAAAGGTATTTCCACATGTTCTTCCAATAATCAATGGTAGCTTGCCAAGAGGAAGGGCAACAGAAAGAATCTCATTCAAGAGTGTCACTTGGAACAACAGGTCTTAAGCTAACATTGCTGCTAGCACAATGGTACCTCCATACCCTCCAACATCCCTTTGATAAAAACCGGGACACATGTGTTTTAGTGCCATGCTACTGTATGAGTCAGCTGGCTCACGCGGCAGCACAGCACCAAAAGACACGAACCCCAATTTTCATCAGAGGAATGTCGGAGGCTGCTCTTGCAGGAGGCAACTGACTTGCACGGCAATGCGGCTCAGCAGTGGTGGAATTGGAGGGGGAGAAACAGGACATTCCGGGATCAAATCAGAAGTCAGGATGGCTTCTGTAATTCTGGGAGTGTCCTGGGAAATTTGGGACAGTTGTAGGGTATGGTATCTCTGTCTCTCATAGTGATCTTGCTGCTTTGTGTGTTCTAGTACATCAGGAGGCCTTAGATAACCCCCACCTCTCTCAGTGTATAATATAAGGATAAAAATAATGAGCCCAACTTACAAGATTGCTGCAAAGATTAGCTTGACAATATTAACAAAAGAGTTTGAATACTGAGACGGAAACTTCAGGCCCAGAGGCCAAATATGAACTCAGGTATCTCTACCTGGCCCTCAGGAGTTTCCTCAGGCTACATCACTCACCAGTCTTGCTTTGCATATTCCTTGAGTGGGTTTTTGTTTTGTTTTTGTTTGCTAGACTAGAATGTGTCTTTGAACTATGATAATGCATTTTGCTTTCCTGAATAAAGATAAAGAATATGTGTGGAGACAAATCTATTGCAAAAAAGTAAAAAATAGTATTATTTGTTCCACCCACTTTGTCTTCTCCCCATACCCAAAACCAATATTTGGCCCTCAGAAGGTTGCAAAGTAGGGTTGCCATATTTTGAAGAGCAAAACAGAGGACAACCAAGAGAAAAAGACACCATGAAACTTTAAAAATTGCTGGGGGGGGGGGGCAGATGCAGAGGAGAGGTATCTTATTGGCATGGTATATGCAGAATGAAGGCAGGGAATAATATGGGTTCCAGATCATGTAAATTGGGCGATAGGGGTGGAAAATAGGTTTATATATCTGATTATTCAGATTCAATACACCCCTGCCTGCAAAAAAAAAACCCCAAAAACTATACAGTGGTACCTCAGGTTAAGAACTTAATTCGTTCTGGAGGTCCATTCTTAACCTGAAACTGTTCTTAACCTGAAGCACCACTTTAGTTAATGGGGCCTCCTGTTGCTGCCATGCCGCCGGAGCACGATTTCTGTTCTCATCCTGAAGCAAAGTTCTTAACCCGAGGTACTATTTCTGGGTTCTGAGTCTGTAACCTGAAGCATCTGTAACCTGAAGCGTCTGTAACCCAAGGTACCACTGTATAACTTTTTAAAAAACCTTTTCCCAATGCAAGGAAAGGGTGGGGGAGCCAAGTGAAGAGCTCTCTGCCTGCTCAAGAGAGATTTTCCCCAGCATACACACAGCCCATTAAAAAACTCTACTACCCACCCACCCCAAAGTTTGCAAAATAATGCAAGAGTGAGGAGGGAAGAAAAGAAGGAAGGGGGATCAGGAGCAGGGGGGCGGGAATCAGGAGTCCAATCCGGAGGGAACCGCTGCCTCAGTCCCAGGCCTCCCCTCGCTTCCCACCCCTCCCACCCCGCTGGGTCTTTACCCAGCCCAGCCTAGGCCCAGCCGCCGCTGCCACTGCCAGCCCCTCGCTGCCCGGCAGGTGGCTCCAGCAGAGAGGGGACGGGGTGGAGAAAAGAGCTGGGCAGGAGAAGAGACAGAGAGAGATGCAAGACCGGCTGACCTTGGCAAGCGGAGTACAAGGACTGGGGCAGGACAGACCAAACAAACAAACCAAGACATTTTTGCAAATTCTAAAAAATGGACAGAACTTTTAAGCCTGAAAATGGGGACATCTCTGGGAAATTCCAGATGCATGGCAACCCTAAAAGTATGCAGTCTTTGTGATGAAAAATGTTCTCCATTCTGCTAGTGCTATAGATGTATTAATTCTATGCCCAACTATATTCCTCTGTACAATCTGAAGTAGGTCTGCCAGTGGGAGGATTGGACTGGTTTCTGTATTTTGTTATAATTATTTCTGCCCTGCAACCACCTGGTGAAGGGCAGATTAAATATATTACAAACAAATACACAAATTCTTCTGAACTAGACTGTACTGTTTCTATGTTTTAAGATGTTTAGCATTATGTTAGCAGTACCACCTAAATGGTAGCACCAACAAGCAGCAATAGCTGTTTTGTAGATTCTGCTGTTGTGATAGAAAGGGTGGAATATAAATATTTTAATAAATAATTTTAGCCAGCACTATGGAAAGGACTCTGATGACTGCACTATTTACAATGAAGCTAAGTTTTCCCTTGTTCTAAATCAATCACTTGCGGACACTTCCCAACTGCTGTTTTGCTTTCCAGGCGCCTTTGGTCATGAAATTTCTTTTCTCAGATAATTGTTTTCTCCCATTTTCAACTTCCTTCCAGACAGGACATCCTTGTCTTCCCAATCAACTGAGTTCATTTTTTTATTGGAGGTCTAAAGGACTCATGGCATGCAAACATCCCGTACTGAGAAGCTTAGTTGTTTGAAATGTATCTGCAAATATTCAGTACCTCTGGTTCAGGTGACCCCCATACACTCTAGAGTTCTGACCATTACTTATGATATCCAGTTGCTAAGTCAGCGTTTCAGGAAGAACAAGGAGAGGGCCATCAAGATGAAAGGAGAAGAAGCAACCCTGAAGATAAATAAATCCATGCTAGTTAACAAAAAGAGATTTGACACTTGCTTCCAGCTTCCCCATGTTTTAGGCCTGAAAAGTGCTTATTGGTAGATGACTTTAATCCAGAGACTGGGACCTTGTGGCACTTCCAGATGAAGTTCCACAATTTCAACATCCCTGACCATTGGCCATACTGGCTGAGGCTCATGGGAGCTGCAGACGAACAACATCTGGAGGGCTATAGGTTCCAGATTATTGAATTAACCAGTGTTCTATGGCAAACTGATTGATGGCCTTGGATCAAAGATATTTGGGTTAAACTACTCAAAGATGGGGATGCGGGTGGCTGTGGTTTAAACCGCTGTGCCGCTTGGACTTGCCAATCGGTTCGAGGCCCCGTGACGGGGTGAGCTCCCGTTGCTCGGTCCCAGCTCCTGCCAACCTAGCAGTTGTTCGAAAGCACGTCAAAGTGCAAGTAGATTAATAGGTACCGTTCCAGCGGGAAGGTAAACGGCATTTCCATGTGCTGCTCTGGCTTCACCAGAAGTGGCTTAGTCATGCTGGCCATATGACCTGGAAAAACCGTCTGCAGAAGTGGACAAACGCTGGCTCCCTCGGCGTGCAAAGCAAGATGAGCACCGCAACCCCAGAGTCATTCGCGACGGGACTTAACTGTCAGGGGTACCTTTACCTTTACCTTTTACTCAAAGATATTTCTGTTAAACAGTCTTAAAGATCATCAGGTGCTCTTGAGATGTCCCTAACAGATCTGAGAGTATAAAATTTTAAGCCACCCTGTGCTTCTTGAAAGAAGGGCAGGGTTCAGATGTGATTAATATGTCTTTTAAAAATAAAAGAAACCCACCTGCAAAATGTTCCCTCATGTGAATGTTAGGAGCTAGCACGATTTCCAGTCACTCCTATTTTAAATTATATTACCTTTCAGGAGGAAAAAGAAGTCTTGCAAAATAAAGGCTAAAATCTCAAGGCTAATGTCTATGTTATGGAAATTAGTACTTGTAGCAAAGCACTCAAAAGCACCCAAACTGAGGTATGCTATCACCAGACCCTGTACTCCTTTAAATTTGAGCTGGGAGTGATTCTCAGTGCTACAAGTGATTAATATTAGATAGGGAGATGGGGGAACATCCAGCCCATGCTTATCCCTCATAGGGAGCAGGCTAGCTGGTTCCCCTCCAATTCTCCCTAGACATGAATGTGTAGCATGGGATCAAAGAGCCTGAGCCACAGGGTAAGGGGGAATATACTCTCTTATAAGGTGTCACAAACACACATCAGACTCCAGCTCCCAATTTCAAGACAGTTTATTAATAATCTTGTTTAAGAGACCCAATGGGAAAAGGCAGAATGGGGCATGAAAGAAAAGAAAGCAAATTTTTCTAATCATTTCTATCCTAATGTATCGACTTACAGATAGGCTCCTGGTCTCAAGGCAACCATGGATTGTCAGATGGATAACAAAGGCCAGTGTTTAAAGTGTTCTTGACCTACGTGGATTCTGATTGGCAGGTGGCTTTGATGCAACAATGAGATGACTGCCATGTAACCCAGAAAATGGCCAGGGATGAGCTAACAATGGTAAGGAGATGGGAACTATTGAAGTGTTAATTGCTGCCAGTGTAGTAATCTGTAACCTGTGTTTTCGAGCCTGCCGTAGGTAAGATGTGATTGCTGTTTATATATGATTGAGAATTAGAGAAATTGGGTAATCTTAAAGGACAGGATATGGGTGGGGCAGAACCATGCCACACTACTTACCCATGGTGTTCTCCATCATGGGGAGAAACATTCCTGTCTTTCTTTTTCAACTGAGAAAATAAATGATTTTGGCCTTTTTGTGTGTGTTTTGCCTATTCAACATTCTGCTTGTTTGTTTGTTTGTTTGTTTGTTTGTAATATGTTATCTTCTTTGAAAAGCAAGATCTCACAATGAAATTTTACATTCCAATTGAGGACATAACACTATGTTTTAAATTCAAATACTATAGCTTGACCGTCGAACCCATTGGAAGTGAGGGGAAGAAAAGACTCTGAGCACACTGTAAGATATCTGGACCGAAAGGTGATTGTGCATAATTAAGGACACGTCTACACAGCCCCTACATCCAGTTTCAAAGGGGCCAGGAAAGACACACAATGCATTGCACTCCTTAAATACCAAGTACATGGCACTTTACTTGTGCGTTTAGTTGGTATCTGTATTGCATCTGAACAGATTAGATAGATAGATAGATAGATAGATATAGACATAGATATATAGTTTTTATATGTACTGTTTTAATATATGTAACTGTTTTACATATGTCTTCATTATTTTGTAAATTGCTTCAGGGTGCCTCATGGGAAGCAATTATTGAATGAAATTATTATTAACAACAACAAAAAACAACCACCACCACAACATAACACTCCATTTGAAGCTTAGCACAAAACGGCTACTTGATTCCTGCCCCATTTTCATGGGCACAGTGGCAAATATCCTAAATACATTGACATTTGAATGTCTGAAAGGTGGCATGAACATTATACATTACTAGTTTAACTATTTGCATACTGTAAACATGTGCTATGCTGGAGACACAAAGTAAGAAGTGGACCCACTTCACTAGCTTCTCCTTTCCCTGAACTATTTCCATCCAAGCTGGTCATCATATGAACTTTATCAATGGGGACCAGAGTTAGTGCCACAATATTCTTGTTTTCCTCTTCCAGCCCCATCCCCTTTTGCTCTTGTGTCATGTCTTTTAGACTGTAAGTTTGAGGGCAGATTAGGGTTTGTTTTACTTTACACCATCCTGTTCTATGGTGATCTGTGCATTTGTCTGGGTGCCTTTTCAGCTGAAGAGCAGGGTAAGAAGATTGTAAAGAAAGAAAGAAAATTAGTCAAGACAACATAAACACACAACAAGGAGCATATGCACCTTCAGGTCTCACTCTCACATTTTTAAAGGGTACATGCAACACAGGGGCACCTATATCCCAAACATATGAAGTAGCCCATAGTAACAACAGCCATACTCAACACCGGACAGGAATGGACTTTACAACTAGGATGCCAGAGAGAAATGAGGATTTAAAATCCTTATAGGATTAAAGATACCTGTGCAATATTGTTCCAAGAAATGTCAACAAATTCCTCTCTATATATTAGGATGAAACAAACCATGACATTCTGGCTGTAAACCTGAAAAAAGGAGGCATAGGAACAACTGAAATAAACACTAAGATTATCACTGATACTTCTAAAACCGAAAAGTCACAGATTAGTCCAGACAAAGTCCATTATTTTAGACATTTATATCTGTAAGTTGACAGAGCTACTACTTATGCAAGAAGCAATAGAGGTTACTGCCTTAAAAAAAAGACTTCACACATTCCCTAATTAATTCAAGAAAGACTTCGAGTTTTAGATAATATTATTCCTTTTATCACTTGCCATCCAGCACTTGGTATAATGTCAACACTTACATCTTTTTCCCCCTCACCAAAATGATTTTAAAAACATTTTTTATCCTAAAATGTTCACCTCGATTTTAAAAAAAATTATCTCAAAGATAAGAGATTTCTTTCCATTTCAGTCCCACAACAAGGAGAATGTCAGCACAGCTTTTTTGACAGACAAATTATTGAATCAAAGAAAGAATATGCCATTAAACCCACAGGTTAGGAAATGTCAGGAATGGCTTAAAGAGATATTCCATTTATCTTCAAAACATGCACGGAATGTCACTAATGTGTGTTTATCATGTATAATCAGACAAAGAAAATATCGAAATAAAGTACTCCTGCATACAATAGAAGTCTCCTTCCATCTCTCAAGATATCAGTGCTATTCAAATAGAATAATAATGATGAAACCCTTTTTTCTTGAAAATGGAAATCAAGCGAAATGTAGATAGAAATGATTTTCTGTAGTTGATGTACATTTCTAAAAGTGCATTAACAGGAAATCCAGAACTTTTTAGGTCAATTATATTGTCAGCATTGTCAATGCCACTGAAATGAATACCTAAGCAGCACATATTCCTGCTGGAACAGAGACAGAGAGTGAAATCCTGTGTTCTTTTATACTAGGAAGAAGGAAGGCACAGATGGATTTAAAGGGCTACTTGGTTATACAGCTGTCCTGTTCAAGCAAAAATTGCTCCAAACAATATTCAGTGCTACTCGAAGTTGCATAGAAAACAGAAGAAGCAACATTTTAAAGAATCATTTGTATTTTTTTATTATGATTTCTCCCAATTCTCAGTTAAATGTTTAGATCCAGTTGGAGTAAGCACTTTTACTCCTTATTTAGTACACCTCTTTTCCATCCTTTCTACATGGAGGACTTTGTACATGGTTCTTCTCCACCACTGTTACCCATGTTGTCACCACAACAATCCAGTGAGAGGTTAACCTAAAAAATGACTAACCCTAGGTCACCCAGGCTGCATTCAGACTGGGGTTTTTTTGTGAAGGTTTTTACTTGTTATAATCTTACAATCTGCCCCGGTTACCAGTGTTCATGTCACAGTGCAGTAACATGTTGTTTTATGGAACTGTGGCTTTTTGATCAATATACCGCCGTGTCATACTAAATTTCAAATGCTGAGAAAGAACTTTATGCTGGTAGACCACCCCAAATTTCATCAATGCGATTTTCTGAGTTAACGGGGTTGCAAATGGATTGTTGGGGAGGAAAATTAACAGCTGAGCAGGAATTGGAATCTCAGTCTCTCAAGTCCACATCTAATACGCTAGAGCAGGGGTCGTAAACCTTTTCAAAGCTACCGCCCACTAATGAATCTTTCTTGATGGTAAAATTTCTTTACCGCCCACCAGTGCTCGATGGAAGGAGGATTCAGCTTGCGCCATAGAACCCCCTACCGCCCACCTAGAATCCTGAAACGCCCACTAGTGGGTGGTAGGGACCAGGTTGACAACCCTTGCTCCAGAGCATGGGTAGGCAAACTAAGGCCCGGGGGTCGGATCTGGCCTTCTAAATCCAGCCTGCGGACGGTCTGGGAATCAGTGTGTTTTTACATGAGTAGAATGTGTCCTTTTATTTAAAATGCATCTCTGGGTAATTTGTCGGGCCTGCCTAGTGTTTTTACATGAGTAGAATGTGTGCTTTTATTTAAAATGCATCTCTGGGTTATTTGTGGGGCATAGGAATTTGTTCTTCTTCTTTTTCAAAATACAGTCCGGGCCCCCACCAAGGTCTGAGAGACAGTGGACCGGCCCCCTGCTGAAAAAGTTTGCTGACCCCTGCTCTAGAGTGAAGATCCACAAGTGGGGTGAGAACATAGCCCTTAACAATAAGTGGATTGTATCTGAGGTGTGTGTCACCATCCTTTCCCTGTTGTTTAGCACCCTTGCTACGCAGAAGATGAAGAGGGAAATTACTAGATGCAAAGAAAGGCAGGGCTTTATCATTGTGCAGATGGGAGAATTTCAACAGGGGGAGATTTTCTCATCCCTTGCTTGCTGAAATGGTCTATAAGGTAAAGGTAAAGGGACCCCTGACCATTAGGTCCAGTCGTGGCCGACTCTGGGGTTGCAGCGCTCATCTCACTTTATTGGCCGAGGGAGCCGGCATACAGCTTCTGGGTCATGTGGCCAGCATGACTAAGCCGCTTCTGGCGAACCAGAGCAGTGCATGGAAACGCCGTTTACCTTCCCACCAGAGCGGTACCTATTTATCTACTTGCACTTTGATGTGCTTTCAAACTGCTAGGTGGGCAAGAGCTGGGACTGATCAACAAGAGCTAACTCCGTCGCGGGGATTCGAACCACCAACTTTCTAACCAGCAAGTCCTACGCTCTGTGGTTTAACCCACAGTGCCACCCACGTCCCACGAAATGGTCTATACAACTATTTAAATTGCAGGTGCCCTTGCTGTGTTTGTTCATGTTAGAGAGAAAAGGAGAAAAATGGGCATAATGTATTAAACAATTTAAACGGGGCTGCATGTTGTAAGTTAGGATGGAAGCAGGTCCAGGGTTTGTTGAGTTTGAACTGCTGCATTGCCAACATATTTGGCAGTCAATCATATCCCAAATGTTCTCCTAATCAATACACCAAAAGATGTTCATTGTTACTAGTGAGATGTAGATAAAGATATTATTTACTCATCTGATTTCTCTTGCTTATTCCACCTACATAACATATGTACTCTCACATGAGCGTAGTGACACACAGAGCCATCAAAAATAAAAACGTCTGCAACATATAGTTGTAACACATGGTTGTTGTTGTTGTTGTTTGCTGTGGAGCCATTGTAGTTAAAACCACAACTGTGCATCTTGTATGTTGCTTAAAACTTAACAAAGGTCCCATGATGCTACATATGCATAAAGCACTAACCAAACTGAAACTCAGGAAAGGCACTGTTACCTGACAGATCCTTAGTCCATGCGGGTGGCGCTGTGGTCTAAACCACTGAGCCTCTTGAGCTTGACAATCGGAAGATTGGCAGTTCAAATCCCCATAACGGGTTGAGCTTCCATTGCTTTGTTCCAGCTTCTGCCGTCCTAGCAGTTTGAAAGCACACCAACACAAGTAGATAAATAGGTGCCGCTGCAGCGGGAAGGTAAATGGCGTTTCCATGTGCTCTGGTTTCCGTCACAGTGTCCCGTTGCATCAGTAGTGATTTAGTCATGCTGGCCACATGACCCAGAAAGCTGTCTGCAGACAAATGCCGGTTCCCTTTACCTGAAGCAAGATGAACACCACATCCCATAGTTGCCTTTGACTGAACTTGTCTGTCCAGAGGTCCTATACCTTTTACCTTAGTGCATGGAGATGTATTCACCTTGCTTTCTTTGATAATTCCCCATAGCTCATAACATGGCAATGTTTCCTTCACCACATGACACAGAATCAGCAGTCATTTTTTGAGATGTGGAGCACTCTAAAGTATAAATTGACAATTGTAGCCTGCCAAGTGGGGGAGGCATATAGAGAGATGAGGCATAGGTGTGGAAGGGCTCAGTTCTCTGCACCTGCTGCAGGTGGAAAGTGTGTGAAGTTTGTGTGGATTTTGCATATTTCTGTTGTAGAACATGTACACACAGCAGAGAGCCCAGATGTGTGTCAGGTTTACACAGTAATGAAATAGGCTCATGTACACTCATAAGTCTGACATAATATTGTGACCTAGTTCTCACTGATGTGGCAGACCTAGGTCTCAGCTTTTTCACTTTAGAATGCAGTTGACGACTGAGGTAACTGCACACCCTACAATACCCCTCTGCCCCACCCTGCTTCAAACAGAAAACTACATGTCAGAGGAAATGCTAGGCTAGAACATCTAGCCTAACATCAAGAACAGGCATCCCCCAAACTCAGCCCTCCAGCTGTTTTGGGACCACAACTCCCATCATCCCTAGCTAACAGGGCCAGTGGTCAGGGATGATGGGAGTTGTAGTCCCAAAACAGCTGGAGGGCCGAGTTTGGGGATGCCTGATCTAGAACAACTCATCACTTCCATAGTCATGCCCCTATGGGGTACTTGTAGTTTCCTTCATGGAAATGATATTTGTCTAAGGAACTGATCTTGGGTAAAATATACCAAACTTTGCCTTGTGAGAGACTGTCTCCCAACTTCCAATAAAATTGTTGAGATTCTAGTGTGGTAAAACTATGTGATGTGATACAGAAGTTTAAGATGACCAAATATTACTGCTTCTCAAAGTAAGTCATTCAAGAAAGAATCCCATGCTGTTCTCCCATCCACAACCACCCCAGGAATCGGTCTCTCCCAAGCCAAGCTCACACCAAAGCTCATGTTAAACAAACAATTTGGCAAATCAGCATGTCTATATTCATTTTTCTGACTTTCCCTACAGTTTACAAATCTAAAGAATATCTTACTATTATATGCCCTTGCTATAGCAAGGCATAGTGTTCATGTTTATTATATTAAATACAAAATTAATAGAGAGAGTTTGGAGAATACTTAACTCCTTCGCTGGCAACTTAAAGAGAGAGAAAATACCAGGAGAGGAGGAAAAAATTGGACACCAGAAAAGTAAATAAAAATATATCTAAAGAGATATATTTTAAGAGATAATGCAGCATTTCAGCACTTTGCCTCTTGAAAATTTAAATGAATGCTCCTTGAGAGCAAACTACAAAATGCTAACCTTGAAGTGTTGAGTGGCAGAAGGAATTATGGGTTATTGTACTGTCAAAATGCCAGACAGCTGTATGTTGAGTTACTGTGTTATTTAGACAATCAGAAACTTGGAAGCTAATGTGACTTTTTTCCTTCTGTGTGAAAGCGCCTGACATGCGTCATGATAATTTCTAAAGGGACAAAATGTGAGGTAAAAGGGGGGAGGGAACAGGGGGAAAACACCCAGTGCCTTTTTGAAGCAGGCTTATAGGTAGAATAGGTCTGCCAGCAAAACTGATGTGTATTATGTCATTAATATTTCAAATGGTCCCCAGATAGCAGAACAGGACTTTCCTATGAGGTCATAAAAGCCTTAAGATCATATGAGTAAGCTCATAAAATTATGGTAGAGGATCTAAAAGCTTTAATTTATGGGTCAGAGATGAACACCTGCAGAACACGAAACCCACTTGCTTGTTGGTCTGAGGGTAAAAGACCTGGAAACTAGTTTAACATAGTGGTGGGGAAACTGAGTCAGTGGTGCAGCTGGATAATTTTAGACTCTGGACTTAACAGTGTTATGCTCTCTCCCTTTGTAGATGGCAATCCATATCACTTCATGATATGCATTGAGCTAGTTCTGTTATGTGGGAGCAACTCCTGACTGTGCTGCTTAGTGGAGACCTGGACTTCTGACCCCAAATAAGAACATAAGAATAGCCTGCTGGATCAGGCCTGTTGCCCACCTAGTCCAGCATCCTGTTCTCACATGGCCAACCAGAAGCCTGTGGGAAATCAGTGAGCAGAACATGAGCACAAGACCTAGGAGCCATCTCTGCCATGTATCTGTCTATTCCTCTTTTAAAGCCATCCAAGTTGATGTCCATCACTGCCTCCTGCCTGCCCAGCACTATTGGACTAGGATGTAAACCAGGAAGCTCCCAGTTCAAAACTTCCCTCTAACACACACTCCCCGAGTGGCCTCTGGCAAACAATTTGGAAGATTCCTGACGTAATGTATGTGAAGCACTCAGAAACTCAAATATGTGGTAAGTACTACGATAATACTACACAGGATTGCCTATGCTTGGTTAAAAAGAAAATATTTTCTCAATTCTTGACATTCGTCCACAGTTCCAGAAAAATTCAGTTCCAGATATAATTTATATTATTATTTATTGCATTTACATCCCTCCTCCTCCTCCTCCTCCTCCTCCTCCTCCTTCTTCTTCTTCTTCTTCTTCTTCTTCGAGCTAATGATGGTATACATGGTTCTCCTGCCCCTCATTGAATTGCCACAACAACCGTGTGAGTTAGTCTAGGGTGAGAGGCATTGACTGCCTCAAGGTCACCCAGTGTGCTTCATGGTTGCATGGAGATTTGAACTTAGTGTCCCAGGTCCTAGTCAGACATTTTAACCACAATGCCTCATCGATGATCATTCAGTTGAGAGGTTTACATACTGGAGAATTCTTCTTCCAAAGCTGGTATTTGCTTGGAGGGGAATTTCTCACTGGTACCAAAAGCATCCTATGCATATTTCCAGTGAGCATATGGTGCCACCAGCAGCCCTGTATCTAATAGGGAAGTTCACATTTCCCAGGGAAATCAGTATCCAAAACATTAATACATGTGCCCTTTCTGCCCCTCTTACTTGACAGCCATGTCTGACATCCTTATTAAGAAGGATGTGAATTGCTTCCACCAAAAAGTTAATTTCATTTTTGATGCAGGCAATCCATTTTGAGTACTGAATTCATGGGCACCTGATTCACCTATGATCACCTTAAAAAAATAATAAAGATTGTGTGTTTGTGTATGTGTTTGAAAGCATGAGTTGGTCACCTCTGTGATTATCCCTGACATATGATGTGGGGTTCCAGACTATATATCTCATCAGCCCCAGCTAGCTTGGCCAGTGGTCAGGGATGATGGAAGGGGTGGTCCAGTAACATCTGGCGAGAACCTTGTTGGCTACCCCTGTCATAAGTGATGCTATTTGGCAAGCCCCTCTACCCGCACTCAGCAACCACAAGACAATTTTGAATCAGCACATCCCCATAGGTCCATTGCGGGTGTGCACAGAAAGCTGTTTGAAATTTCTGATTCAGGAAGTTCTGAATATGTAACCCCCCCCCCCCCAACAAAACTCCACACTTGAAGCCACCATGTTCAGGATTCTGAAAATTGCATTCATAATCTTTGACTGCAAGCACAAAGTAAACCCCTGAATTGCTCCATTATCTCCATTTTGAAAAACAAGTTTCAAGGTCAAACTGGTTTCCTGAAGTCCATTTCATCCTCAAGTTACACTACAATGCAACAATCGGGCAAAGACAGAATTAATAACATGTGAACATTAAAACCTGGTGATTTCTGCCCCTCCAAAAGTATTTAACAATCATAAAAATATGTTGAGGTGTGAACCTCAGTTGAATTAAAGCTAACATTTCAGAAAAAGACATTTCAATTATGGTTGGCTCTGGTTAAGGGGTTTAAATGAGGGATGCCTTGTCTTTTCCTTTTTCCACCTTATTAATTTTTATTTTTATTTGACAGTTAACCTAATGCTAAGATAATACTGTGTAACTTTAATGCTGAAAATTGATATACAGCTATAGGCCAAGCTTTGTGATGGATGGGCTCTACCTTTGCACAAGAAGCCATACAATTTGATTACCATTGTTCATATTGAACCCAGGTGATGAATATTCTAAAGATTAATATTTGACTTAATAAATGCTTCTTTTGTTCCAATAAGTACAGTGTTGCTTTCTAAGTCAAAGATAGCCAACCGAGCTAAAAAAAAGAAGAAAAAGGGAAAAAAGAAACTTTAAGACATCCCATTTGGCCTAATCCCATCTGTGGCATTTGCCTCCTAGGATGGGTCAAGGAAAGGGTTAAAATGGGTGTGATGTGATTGGCCAGTGAGAATGCAAGGGGGGAGTAAAAGATAGAGTGGGAGGTTTTGAAAGTCAGTTGAGGTTTGGGAGTTGGGAGTTGAGGTTTGGGAGCTGGGAGTTGAGGTTTGTCACTTGGGAGTTGAGGCTTGGGTGTTGGAGAAGGAAGAGGGTGGAATAGGCAGTGGGTTGGTCGAGTTGTATTGTGAGAGAGTGAGAGGAATTGTTAGGTTGAGTCAGATAGACAGTTGGGAATAGTTCAGTTTGAAGTTGTTAGGAACAAAGATTAGGAGACTGACAAGAGAAAAATAAACCGAAACCATACGCTTGTTCCTGCATTTGAATATAAACTTGATTATTTGTTTATGTTAACAACTGTCTGGACTCCGTGTGTCCCCGTGAGAAGCGGGGTGGTGGCAGCAAAGAAACCAGTCGCAGTGGTGGCACAGGGTCAATAGACCGTGAAACGTCCGGGGGCCCTGTGTGCTTGCCACACCATCCTTCTCCCTTCTCCAGTATTTTGCCCCATTTTAACCAACCTATACATTCCTCTTTTTTCACATCTTTCCTACCACCACCACCACCACCCCAAACTTTGCTACCAATAATATACATTGTGGATTGTCTCTTATGTGGACAATCACTTCTGTGATCCAAGGACCCTTGGCTATTTCAACACAGAAAATGTAGACTCTCCCTGCCTTCCCAGAGAACACCAGTTTCTCAACAGCAATATACTGAACACACGGTTCATTGCATCAGGTTATTTAGTCTTTATTATCTACACAAATATTCTTAATCATTTCCCCTCATACCCAGACTGCTTATTTCTTATTTATAGCTATAAATAAAAAAGCTGGTAAGATCATATTTTACCGACAGTTGTTCCAACGGCACCAGACCCTTTCCAACATTACGAATCAGCATTCCTCTATTTCTATGCATGCTTTATTATAAAAGGGGTTTACCATAAATACTGGAGTTTGAATTCCACCCAAGTAATGCATTAATAGATACTAAACCATTAATAATTCTTGTACTTTTTTTTCATAAATGGGCAAAGTCCAATAAATAAACGATAGCTCTTACATGTCAGAGCAGGGTTAACAAGTACCAAGGAGATTTCAAAGACAAACTACTTCCAGGGCCTGCCAGAATGAGAGATTCATAATGATGCCACAAATTCCAGGGGCCCATTTTTTACTGCCCACTGTGGCAAGTATCTGAAATTAAATGCTAAGCAGAAATTTGTCCCCGAGTTCTGACATGCAGTAGTTAAGGGTAAACAATCTCCAAAATTAAAAACAGATTCTTGATAATAAATCCCAGCGTGTATATCTTCATAACAGACAACTCTCCCTGTAAATCAAGAGCCTAATCCATCGCCACAGAAGCCCTTTTTTCATATTAGACCTGATGATTCACCTGAAATATTTCATCTGTCTCCACGCCTTAATGAATGTTCACAATTAATTCCAATAGGGGGGAAATATTTTACAAAATATTCCAAAGGAGATGACAGTATCTGGCATAGCTGTCATATAAGAAGCTTCAATCTAAGGGGACAGAATACTGATTTTTTTAAAAAAATTTAAAAAACCACAGGGTTTTTGCCTAGGGTACTCCAGTATGAGGTGGCCAAGTGCTCACTGGAATGCACTCTCTCAATTCAGACTGCAGGTGGCAATCAGTTGTGAAAGCTTCTGTATTTCAAAATGCTCCCTGAAAACAGAAAATGAAGAAGAGCTGACAGTGGGCTGGGACAGAATCTTTCTCCTTGGTGTGCTCATGTTCTGTTTGTGGGGAGCTTTTTATATGGAGGAATGTTCAAAACTGGAACCTCGTACCTGTGGTCTGAAGTGGTGCAATTTATTCTATCACTCATTCTTATCTCCGTTACCTGCATGAGGAGGTCAGGTCTCACCAAAAGTATGGACAATTTCTGGAGTAAACCCCTGAAGTCATACATACCACCACAGGGCAGCCACAGACGTTTGTTCATCAGCCTGCCCCATTCTGTTAAACAGGGTGAAGAGTCTTTTTTCTTTTCTTTCTGGCCTCAAAATGTATTGGACCAGGTGCCCAGTGTCTGCCAAGAGTAAAAGGGAAGCTCAAGGACTATAATAGAATGAGGATATTGGTAGAAGGAGTGGCATGTTCATTGGACTGTTAAGTGTAGTGCAAGTGTTGACGTTTTATGTTTCAGTCTATACAATATATATATATATATTATTATTTTGCAGTCGATGGAGAACAAATGAAGCCCGGATTCTGCGTGTGTCCGTCAGCTCCTTCCTGGAGCATCTCTGCTTGGTGGTGGAAACTATGGACCTGTTTTTTTTTGGGGGGGGGTATTATTATTAAAGATTTTCTTGTTTTACAGAGGTTTGTGTAACGTCTCTCGTATTTTTTCCGTGTAACATTTTTACAAATCAGTTTCATTTGTTGAGACATTGGGGGGGGGGTGAGATGGGGGGGTCGGGTGGCGATGTTTCTATTTTGCTTAATGTATGTAGGGTTTGGTGTCAGCTCGTGCAGGTTCTCTGCTGTTCACTTGTGTTCCTTTGGTGGTGAGAGAGGTTGGGGTTGGCCTAGGGTGTGGTTGTTTGTTTGTGATTGGCTGTGGTGATCTTTGTTTTCATGTGTGAGTGGGGTGGGTGGGTATTTTGGATCAGGTTAGCCATACTGATTTGTATGCTGTTGGTGGATTTTTGTCATTGTCTTGTTGGGCTGTGTATGTGATAAAGGGGAGCCATACCGAGGTAAAGGCGTATTCTTCTGTTTGTCCCCGTGTCAGTTTATTGGTTAATTTTTCTAATAGGGCTGTTTCCCATACTATTTGGTACCATTGGTCCATGCTTACTCCTGACAGGTCTCTCCAGTGTCTGGTTATGGTGTTTCTGGCTGCTGAAAGTAGGTGGGTTATGAGTGCTTTGTGGTGTAAATGGGTGAAGAGTCTTATTTTAACTTGAAAATTGTGCACAAGCAGGAAAGTGCCGGGTGCTGTGTTGGCTTTCCAACCATACCTCCATGCCCTCTGTCACTTTTCTCCCAGCTTGGCTCACTTCCAGCACAGCAAAACAAGTGCTTAGTTGGAACACAGTGAGATAAAGCATAACATTCATTCATTCATTCATTCAATTAATTAATTTGTATACCACCCTTCATCTAAAGATCTCAGGGCAGTTAATAGCATAAAAAGACAAAATACATAATCAAAACATATATAAGGGCATAAGAACAGCCTGCTGTATCAAGCCAATGGGCCATCCACTCAATTAGCCTGTTTTCACATTGGCCAGCCTGATACCTGTAGGAAACCATGAAGCAGGAAGACCCAAGCACAAGAGAAGTCTCTCCTCCTGCAGTTCCCAGCAACTGGTATTCTGAAGAATACTGCCTCTAACAATGGAGGCAGAAGCCATGGTCAAGAGCAACTGAATAAGACTTGCTGTTGGCAGGGTCACCTCTACATTCATGGTCAACAATAGAACATGAGAGGTATCTGGGGGTTGATATGACTGCCAAAAATGTGAATCTGCTTAAGGATAACTGTGAAGGGTGTTGGATTGAAGAGAAGGGGGATTTGGAAATATGGGCAAATCAGAAGTTGTCACTGTTGGGCCGAGTTATTGTGGTGGGGATGAGGGCTGCTATGTTGTTGGGGATGTTGCTTTTGTTTCAAAGACTGCAAGCTTTGGATGGGATGGAGGGTTTCAGGAGGTGGCAGAGGGATGCTCCTAGAGTTGTTTGGCAGGGCAGGAAGCCTCGAGTAAAACTTAAGATATTGATGGATGCTAAAGAAGGAGGAGGACCTGCCCTGCTAGACCTTTAAATTTTGCTGTGAACCACCTGCTTTTTGCTGGCTGAGAGAATGGTTGCTTTTTGAAAACATTGAAGCGGGGGACTTCCGGGGTGGCGCCTCCGGAAAATGGCGGAATCCCCTTCGGACTGAAGGGAACCCGCTGCACGGAGGCTTGGGTCCTGCCGCTACGGCGCAGCGGGGACCCTCAAAAACCACAGGCGGAAGAAGCCTGTGGACGTGGGACTCGGCGGGCACCGAGAGCGCTCTCTCCCTTGTACAGGAGCCCGGTAACGGGCTCCGGAGTGGAGGTGCGTGGTGCTGTGAGTCGACTGCTTCCTCCGTGCAGCAAAGCCGCACTGCCGTTATCGGAGAGCGCTGCCTTTTTCCTGGACAATTTGGCATCTAAAATATCTATCCGTGAGTACCTGATCTTGGAAGAGTTGAACCACTTTTAAGACTGGTGAATAAACAAATAATATTGGACTTGAAATTGAACTTAATTGGGACTCGGAATGGGAAGGTCTAAACAGGAAGTCGCCTTCCGTTCTTTTGTTATGTGAAGAAAGCAAAGACAAAATATACTAAAGCTTGAAAATTAAATTCTAAGAGAACTAGAATTCAACATCTAAGATTTCTGAACCCCCTTTGACTGCAGGAGAAGAAGGGGTTGTATTTGGACTTTTCAATCCTGCGGAAGTGAGTTTAAAATAAAGCAATTTTCCACCGCCCTGAACCAGGAGCGGGCTGTCAGAATTGACGTTCTGAAGTTTATCCAGCTCGACAGTTAGTTAAAAGAAGGGTAACATTTTGATTCTACTGTTGCCTCTTGAATTTGGAAGGGGGAATTTTGGATAAAGTGTTTCTGGAAAAAGAAAGATTGTTGCTGTTGCTTTTATTCCTTTAAAAAAAAAAAAAAATTTCCATCTAGTGGAATTTAGTGAAATTGCAACGCAGAGAGATTAAAAGAGAAGGACTATTGGACTATTGTCGTGGGAAAGAATTTTCTTTGACCTTGAAGGACAATGCTAGTACAAAGGCTTGAACAATTGTTCCTGGAAGGTTTTTCAAAACTAAGTGCCCAGCTGGACCAGATGCGTCAGGAGACGACCTTGATGATGGAAGTTACCAGAGCACAGCAGCAAATAAATGAAATTCAGTTAAAGGCTATACAAGCATATGAACCTGCTGTAGTGACGGAGGCTTCAGAGATGGAGGGACCTTTGGACGGGCAAGATCAGCCTTTGAACTTGATAAATGAACTTGGGACAAACCAGATTCGGAAAGATGAAATGTGGTCAGATTTGGAAATGGGGGGATGGATCGACCCCCTCCATATGGTTATTTGGACCTTCCGAGTCTGGTGATGGGCTATCAGAGGATTGGAGTAGCCGAAGTCTCCAAGCTTTGTGGAAATTTGAAGTGGTATTATTTGCTGTCTGGCTTGGGCAATGGGTTTGAGATGGACTTGCTGCAAAGGGTCAAAAGCATTTTCTTGCTGGAGCATCCACGACTGGAAAGGAATCATCAACAAGAGTGGCGAAAGGGGCAAGAAAGAGACTTGAGGGCCTCGGATACGAGACAACCAGGTTAAGGAGCCGGATTATCGAGGTTAAAAGGACTGACAATCCCGGGTCCAGGGAGGGGAGGTTGGAAGCTGACTGGACTGAATTTGACTTATTATTTTTTCTTTTTATTTTTAATATTGGGAATGCCTACAAATGTTTGAAGGATGTTGAATGAAATTACATGGCTTAAGTAAGGATTGGTAAATGATTCGTAAAAAGGTAATGATGCAAGAATTTGGTAAATATTGAATATAAGCTATGAGTTTTAAAGTTTTTATATGACAAGAGGGAAAATAGAATAAGGAAACGTAATGACAGATTGTTATGAAAAAACAGAAAGGATTTGCTGTAAAAATTAAAAATTAAGAAACAAAAGAGGGGAGGAGGAGGAAGTCTAGAAAGGAAGTCAATAGAGATTGTAAAGGACTTTATATTTTTGTTTTTCTGTTTCTCTTTTTTTTTTCTTTGCGGCTGGGTTTTCTTTTTGTTTGTTTGTTTGTTTGTTTTTTTTTGTTTACGTACTATTTTTGTTTTTTGTATCCTCAAATTTTTTGGGGGGAATTTTTGTTGTTATTCTTTGAAAATTTAATAAATATCAATTATAAAAAAAAAAAAATGAAAACATTGAAGCGTTGGACAATGGCAAATGAAATTGATGGACTATGTGGAATTGGTGGAAATGGCTGGCGAGATCCGAGACCAGGGTGAAGAGACGGTGGAAGAAGATTGGAAAAAGATTAAAGACCATTTATAGAGATATTGTAAAATTAAGGAATGTTAGAAAAATGTTGGAATGAAATTATATGGCTTTAGTAGAAATGTCATAAGGAATCAGGTATAAATAGATTAATAGAAAATTAAAGGAAAAGTATGGCAAGAATGTGTTAAGATAATTATAGAACAGAAAACACAGTAAGATGGAAAGGAATTGCTGAAAACAAATAATAGAAGTGGAATACAAAAAGGGAGGTGGGAGGAGGTCGCTGGAAATAAGGGAATGAAATATAAGATATTGAAAATGTTTGAGTTGATTTTAAACTGTTTTTGCTTGTTTTTATTTTTTTTTTAGTTCATGTAGCGTTTGTGTATTGTATTTGCATTGTTTCTTCTTCTTTTTTCTTTTTTCTTTTTTTTTGTTTGTGTTAGAAATGCTAAAAAGGTAATAAATATCATTAAAAAAAAATAGAACATGATGGGCCACCTCCATCCATTCTTTACTCTGGATGTTCAACAAAGCCACCCATTCAAGTTGTGTCTGCATGGTTGTGACATCGAGTATTGAGGTCCATGTGGGTTGGGAGAGCAGGTTAAGTGAAGAGGGGGCATTTTAGAACCTGTATTAGAGCTTTTCCCTAGGGAAAGAAAAGTCAAATATGCTCTTTTGCCTGTGTAAGAGCTTGTGCAACTATCTGGTCCGGTAGAAGCACTAGAACTATGAATTCTTCCTATTCCAACATTGCATGAACTCTTCCACAATTATTTATACTATACTGTTATCATTCTCACTATCCTGCTCAGAGTTCTTTGGATTCAATCTCAGAACAAGAGCGAGATGACCAAGAATTCAGTGCAATGGATGGGCAGCAGCTTACTGCACAGGTGCCTGTTTCCTGAGCCACATCCAAGAAAGCTCCCCCAGGAGGCAGTGATGGCCACCAACCTGGATGGCTTTAAAAGAGGATGAGACAAATTCCTGGAGGAGAGGACTATCAACGGATACTAGCCATGATGACTATGCTCTACTTTCACAGTTGGAGGCAGCCGTGTTTCCAAGTACCAGTTGCTGGAAGCCATGGGAAGGGAGAGTGCTCTTGTGCTCATATTCAGCTTGCTGGTTTCCAATAGACACCTGGTTGGCCACTGTGAGAAGATGATGCTTCACTAGATGCCTACTGGCCTAATCCAGCCAGCTATTCTTATGTGCTTGTTTCTAAACTGAATTCACTTCTTAGCCGGAGTCTGGATCATGACAGGGGTAGTTGGTTTTTGTGCACTGCACATTTCCCTAATGGTGAAAACATTGTGGTGTTTGTCAGTGCACTTGGCCATCCCAAAGTATGAGCAAGAGCTTAAACCGAAAATCACATGAATTAAAAACTCAACATTTAAATGTGTGTGTGTGTGTGTGTATGAGAAACATTGTAAGATTACTCACAAAACTTGAATTTGAAGATCCTTTCAAATGCATACATCGTAAGGTTTCATTTCATGAATTTGAAGTTGTTGTGTTAGTTATCAGCTGGCCAAATTTAGCATTTTACATCCTTTGTGTCTGCTCAAATATGTATGCAAAAAAGGTATCAGTGAGAAGGGGGAAAAGTTAATATTAAGAATTAAAAAACTGTTATTGGAACCCTTTTTTTAAGTACACAGCTATTCTATACACTGGACACAATCCTGTCAAGGTAAAAATTTAACATCCCATTGGTTTCAATGAAATAGATTTCAGCACATACTTAACATTTTCATTATATAAATGGAACTTTAAAATGCTCATGTTTGGGTAGATTTCTCTCTCTCTCTCTCTCTCTCTCTCTCTCTCTGTGTGTGTGTGTGTGTGTTTGTTTGTTTAAGTGGACAAGAGAAAAAGAAATTGTATTCTGCAGGTTTAATATTGCTCCCTAAGAAAGACTCTTGCTGTGTAGCGGGTTAAAAATCTCAATAAATGCATTTATAGCGTAGGAGCAATATTTTATATGAACGCTACACTTTCAAGTAATGACAAATACAACTGGAACATGAAGAACAATCTTGTCTCGGGCTCCTTAACAGATAATGACTTCAAGGTCATTCCATTAGTGATCACGGCAGCTTTTAAATGAAACACATATAACCCTAATCCAATTAATGAAAGTATCCTACATTTCTTATACATGCTAATCTTGAATGAATGCTTAAACCTTGGTCATTCACCAGAGCATGCATTATAAGTCAAAATGAGAGGAGCACAATAACATTAGAAGCAAGGCAGAAGGGATGGGGAGGTGAAAGGGAAAATGTGCTTAGCATTTTTAAGCTGCTTTCAGTTCCTTTGGTACCCCAATTTTGTGGATTTGTTTCAAAGTTAAAATCAATTTTTTAAAACATTGCAAAAGTAAATTAGAAAGAACACTTTCGCTAGAAACCAAGTAGCTCCTTTTTTCTTTTTCTTTTTGTCACTTCTACTAAACATATATTCTCTGGTTTACCCTTCACCTCCATTTCCTTTTCTCCATTTGCTGTCTCTTTGGCATTGAATTTTAGATCCTAAGTTCCTCTTCTTACCTTTTGTACATACTCAGTCATATATCACACAACACCATTTGCTTATTCTTTTCCCCATTTATCACTTTTAATGATGCCTTGCTGCTCAAATTTTCCAAATACATTAAAAATTGTATACAATTTCACAGAACTTTTTTGTCCTTTTAAAAGTTACTCTAGTAGGAATTATCAACCTGACGCTATATTACAGTTGAAATGTCTTCTCTAGCCAGAGTTCCAAATTTACAATTCTTATTACTCTGTAATACTTAAATGCAGAGAAAGGTGAGTTCTGGCATTTTGACCCAGCAGGGTGGCCAGCTAAATTATATCTTCATTTATCTCCTGCATTAAAAATATACCCTGAATCTTAAATTGTTTGAACATTTGGTGTCTATGCAGTTACAACTTTTCTTCTTCACCTGCTGTTGTTAACCAGAAGTCCAAGGATGCCTTTGTGGCTCAGTGGTAGGGACTCATATTGTCCCAGCTGCTGAGAGAGCCATAGCAATTCTCACTGTAAACTGAGAGAAGACGCTTATTTGCTCCAGGCTCTGAGTCTTCCAAAAAACATTAACCATGTGGCATCATCAGGTCCACTAGCAGTACCCTGGATCTGAAGTGAATGGGACACCTGGAATGATATTACCCAAGAAGCCAACACTCAGGTTCAGTTTCCTCTCTATAAAATGAGGACAATAATGACCTTTACAGAGGTGGAAGGGGAACTGGTTAATCTGCCTGGTTAATCCTGAGTAGGATGGCTATTTTCAAGACAGGATCCTTGCAGTCTGTTTTTTTCTGTAGCTAGGAAGTGCAGTAGGTTAATGATACTGCTCTGTTGAACATGCAAGGTCAGAATGCCCATCATTCATGACCCCTGGACATTGCTAGTCACAGGGGCAGATATTACACCTGAGCTGATGTTATGTATATTCCATTCCTAGAGAAGGCTCTGAGACTAGACTGCACACAGTCCCAAAATAACTTAGAAAATAAACAACACTCCAAGACACAAATGGCCTTTCTATGTTCTCTTTTGCAGAAGCCTGTCAGTCAGGGCAGTGACAAATAGCAGTACGTGGTCTAACAGCAGGGTCATCCTATTCTGCCCATTCCTCCAAGTCAGAGAGACCCTTGTGCTCATCATCTTGATAGCATCTTCTTCTCACTATTTCTCTAACCCAGTGATTGAGCTTACACTGTCAAAACCTAGCATGACCATTTGCCTGTGCTCTAACTCTTTTGCGCCAAATATTGCTACAAGATTCGAAAGCTTGCCTTTAGAAATGGAACAAGACTGCCTACCCAAGAGGATGCTCCGTATTACACTCCATGTTTCAATTTCACTGTTGTTAACGTGTGGACACTGAGTGGCACTGTAGCTGTTTGCTTGCATGAAGAGGCAATGTGAGTACAAAAGGGCTGTAGGGTGAGTGTTTAGCAAGGAGGTAAGGCTAAAGGTGCAGTCCTGCAGCTCCTTTGTTAGGTAACAGCTGAATGGAATTTGTGTCACTCAGAATTCTGAATTCTGCATCTACTAACCAAGGATGCCCAAGAGTCTATACCAATGGTGGGGAACCTCAGATCCAGAGGTCATATGCAGCCCTCCAGGTCTCTCCTGTCTGGCCCCTGGGGCTCTCCTCACATCACACCCCCTCCCCAGTCCATGCCTCATTAAGTCAGAGGCACTAAACTTTCCAAAATGGTTCATCTCAAAAATGCATCTCAATTCCCTGCAACTTTTTCCATGCAGCTATGTCAAAAACGAGTTGTCAGCTCAACACTTGTCTGAAACTCCAACCTCATACATAAGCAGGTGTGTTTGGGTTTTGTTGTAAACTAAATATACTGTTATGTCTTTTAAGCTCTTGGGATTGTTCATTTTGCCTCTAGACTGAACGTACTGGTAATCTGCAAATCACTTCATAAATAGCAGTTTCCCCAAACATTTCAAAACAAAACGTTTCCATTTTGCATTCTTAATTATAGCGAAAGCTTAATATTTAGAACCAAAGGACTCAGTTGCCAAGAAAGAGTTCTCTGTTTTCTTCCTTGGTATTTGTGGGAGGAGAAAGAAGCAGAACATTTTGGGGAAACGCTTGTTTGTACAGCACAAGATGTGGTGAAGGCCACTAGCTTAGATGACTCTAAAAATGGATTAGACAAACTTATGGAGGAAAAGCCTACTAATGCCTTCGTGTCATTTCAGGACCAGTAATGGAACAGTTAATGTTCCGCTCTGTAACTTGTCTGGTATGGTTTAGTATCACAAGGTGAGTGCTCTGGATTGTTCTTTTTTGCTTGGCTTCTAGATAGCTGTGCTTTCCTAGTATAGTTGTCTATGTTTGAGTCTATGTGACTGTTCACCTGTGAGTAGGACCTATGGGGACATGGAAGCCTGACTACCCCACTGACTAGTCGATGGCTATATACTACCTTCATATTTAGACGGTATATGCCAGTGAAGGTCCGAGCTACTGCCTTCTTGCCCTGTAGGGTCAAAAATGCAGGAGAGGGGAGGAGCTTATCCTTCAAAAACATGAAGAAGGGGAGACAGGATGGGACAGAAAGTAAATTTGTGGCATTAGTCTCTATTCATGTGTTGTTGCTTTTCTTATAGGCTAAATGAGGAATGTCACACTAGAATGCTACAATAGAATGGTTTCAACAATCAATCTATTCTGCCAGGGAACTCTGGGAATTTTAGCTGTGAGGGGAATAGGGAATTTCCAAACCATTCTCAACACTTTTAACAAATGACAGATCCCAGGATTCATCGGCCTGATCTAGCAGGATCTTCCTGGGTTTTTATGATAACCTAGTCACCAGTGTTTTGGCCGGGAATGGGAGCATAGTCCCTCAATTAAGCTTTTTGGGAAGGAGGGAGTCACTATAGTACCCAACTATAGGGAAGGGAGAGAATATGTTCCCCAAATTATTTGAGGACCAGCTGCATCTTCTTACTTCACTCACTTCAAGGCACCTTGATTTTTTCTTGTTCCCTCTATATCTTTTCCTCAACTTTTCTTGTCTCTACCTTCCTTCTTTCTCTGTTATTTCCCCTTCTCCTCTTCCTTCCTGTCCTGCCTGCCTCACTCTTTCAATTCTCATTTCCCCTTCCCTTTCTCCTGTTCTCATTCAGTTACAAAAAAGTTCAGAGAAGGGGCAGTATGTTGGCTGCTTGTGTAGTATTGGAGAAGGGGGGAATCTTAAAATAAACCATGGCAGACTGTACATTCCTATAGATTAGCAATTTACTGTTTGTCTACAAAATCCTACCAGCATTAGGCTGAAGGTTCATGTAAGCAGCACCCTTGTCATTTAGGTCCCTGGGACACGTACAAGATTTGTGCCAAATCTACCTCTCTGTAACAAGCAATGCTCACCATAAAAATGCAACAGCTGTTCCCCTAAGGAGACCTACTTTGACAGTGGGCACTGCTGCATGTCTTCACAATTCGATCGCTAGCTGGCCTTCTGGGTGGGATGAATGCCAAGTGGCAGCCTGTGGCCAACAGTGTACACACATTAGCAATTCATCTATAGCAAATTATCATTGAATTAGGATAAACAGCAAGCACCACAAAGGGATAAAATAGTACCTACTCTAGTTAGTCAGAGCTCCTCATCTCCCCCCTATGCACATCCACGTCCTTCCTCCACATATAAGGCAAACCTCTCAAATGGAAGGGTGAGCTAACTCTTTTGGAGTAGCACATCAATTTCTGCCTGGGCAAAAAAATTAAAAATTATGCTGAAACGTTTCCCTTACACACAGCCTCCTATATTTCTTACTTAGACCTTCAAGGTATGCAACACAGAGCATTCTCACAAATGTAGGGCCTTGTGGAAGTGACAGTATGATGAAATGAACAGACGGAAACTGAGAGCAAGACTGGTTATGAAAAATCACTGGCTGGCCTACCATCTTCATTTTATTTAATTTCAGTGCTGGGCTAGTGCACATTTTAAAACATTAGGGGAAGCAGTAACCAAATACAATAGGTACACAACCGCACACTGCAGAAGGGGAGGTACATGCCTAGGACTGGATAATGTATTGAACGAGGCAGGAACAAGTAACACTCCTTGCTTTGTGGGCATGCTGCCTAGTTTAAACTGGTTAATAGGCCAGACTAAACACACAAGTACACACTTTGGCAGGCTCATACCCATCCTTTCTGCCTGCTCTTGTCACACTCAGGCACACAAGTCCACTTGTTTCAACGATGATGTCTTCTGATGTGTGGGGCAAACTCAAACCTGAGCTTCGTTTTTAGCAGCAGTGTTTAGTTTTTAATTAAAGCTTTTTACTACTAATAATTTTGTGCTTTCTCACTGCGTTTTGACATCTAAACCATAGTTTTAGTATGTCGATTTTTAAAAGCCTTGTAAAGAAATATTTAATATGTCATGATTAAGACTAGGCAAGTTTTGAACTTAATTCCAACTCCCCTATCCTATGATGCCAACAAACTGTGGCTATTGACCACTATGGTTTCTTTGAAACTAGCCAGCTTGAAACCAACTCTCCTTTGAAGAAGGGTGGGATATGAATGTGTACAGTTAAGAAATTAAAAAATCAGCAAATAGCAATGTTGTGTAAGAGAACAGTATCAGTTGGAGGTGGTTTTACCTACGTGAAAGCTAATCCCAAATGGTACGTTTTTGTTCAGTTCTTAATTTAATACAAAATAATCCTTCTCACAAAAATCAGCAGGTGAAAGCAGGCTAAAAATGTCAAATAAATAAATATCCACTATTAAGCCTATGTATACTCTGTGCCATAGCAGTTGAGTTCTGTGATTTGTATGATTCATGAATATTAAGCAATTTTGCATATAGCTTACTCCTTTTGCATGATAATATACTCTGCTTCTTCCACCTACACACACAATAGTGCGGCATTGTGGAACAGGGCTGGCCTGCCACCAAAGCAGTCCCTGGGCTGGGTCTTCCCGTAACACACCTTTCCCTCCAGCTGGAAAGATTCAGAATGACCCTGCCTGCCAGATTGACCAAAGGTAGGTCTCACTCTGGGGGGACGAACCTGACAGGGTCCCCAGGAGGACTTCATTCAGGTCTGCTCCCCAGGGATAAAAGTGGGTGTCCTCTGGACAGGGAACCACAGATCTATTTTGGATTTCCCACCCCCCACCCCACCCTATTGCTGGTTTTTTATCACCCACTTCAGTAGGTAGGTTGGATCTGACCTTGCTATGGACAAAGTCAGTTGCCGTATTTAGTGCCAGGGAGGAAGTTTCCTGGCAGGTCTATAGACAGACCTGGGAGATTTCACCTACCTCGTAGCAATCGTCACAACTTTGTTGAAGAAGGCATTGGGTAAAACCTAGTCATGTTCAGAGCGGAGGTTGTAAGCCTCTGCCTGCTCCAGGGAATGGTATATCCTGTTAAAGGGATCCAGGAAGAGGTGTTTCTGTCTGGACGTGCATGTGGAGCTAGAGCCATAGTGCTCCTCCGCACTCCTCAAGAGGTGGCTTCTATTTGATGTATGTCATACTGGTCCTTGACACTGGTTCAACCCCTTGATTGATCATCCAGCAAATGGGTTGGTTGATATTGGTTGACCCAATGCCTATGCCAAGCCCCTTACATCTGTAGTCAATAATGCTGTGGCCTAATTCAAACCATATAATGTTGTTATGAGTGGTCTTTTGGACGGCGGTACCCTACAGGGCAGTGGTCTCACGGCATCTGGGCACGCAACTGCTATTCTGGGGGAAGAGCAAAGAGCCATCCTGCCCCTGTCCACAGGAAATTTTATTCAGTTGCTCTTGGCCATGGCTTCTGTGATTCCACCAGACATTTCCTACATATTTTGTAACTATAATGCTATTCCCAGTACCAAATCCTGTGCTTGAAAGGAATAACAAGCTGCATAGATGGACCATTATATTTTAATGTTTGGTTTCAATTAAATATAAAATGAAGTGGTGTCAACAAAATTCTGGAAGAGTTTTCATCAGAAAAGTTTTTCTATTGTGCTCTTTTGGGCCTCATGTTTCCTGTTCATTCTTCCTATTATTTTGGATGATGCAAGTAAAGTGTCAAACTCTGGGCACCAAAGAGTTAACTAATTTTCCATGAGTTGGCAAATGTTCAGTCAAAACCTGGCCAACTGCCTGTTGTTTACTGAAGCTAAGGAAGAAGCATCTGCAACATTACCAAAAGCATATTGTAAAAGGCAACACATGCAAATTAAACCTCTTGAGCTATGAGTAAATTGCTGGGAAAATTTATAACTCATTTAATAAAACCTGAAGTAAATACATTGCCTTGGCTCCCAGGGAGAACAAAATATTTCCCATGATTCTCTTTTCTCCCCACCACTGGAAAAAAAATCCCGCAGCCAGACTGCTACAGTATTGAATTTATTATTAAACTAGTTTCATTGAAAGGAATTGTTCCTGCAATTGCATATTATTACAGAATATATACTTGAACTAGATTTAACATACGTGTGTGTGTGTGTGTGTGTGTGTGTGTGTGTGTGTAAACTAAGATATGTTAGAATAATTCTTATGTAGCCCTGGGCAGACTTAATGCTTATCTGTGATCTATTTTTTTTTTAACCATGGTTAAATGTTATACCTTAAAGCATGATTCAGGATTGGCTATAAACTAGGATGTGAACCTAGGTAATTGTATAGCATAATTTTCATTAACTATGCTCAGTGTCATGAACAAACCCAAGGTTACCAAACCGTATTTCATATGCCTCTCCAATCTCTCTTCTTGCTATGTGACAAGGTGGTGCAGCTTAAACACAACTTTTGAGGCCAGGGTTTATCTCAGCAAACTAAACCATGGCTTCACATTTACATCTGGGTTTGTAACCAGATTTAAGGCAGCGAAACATGGCTGGCTTCAGGGCCACCACCAAGTTTGGCAGGCCTTCAGTTCTCCACTCAGGTGGGTCACCCTACCCTAGGTTGATGGGCCCTCTTACTGTGGTAGTGGCAAGGACAGAGAGGGCTGTTATAGTGAAAGCAGCAAGTAGGTGCTGCAGTTAGAAAAAAGCTGATATAGTCGGCAAATACGGTGTGTGACACCTGGCATTTTAATTCCCTCATGAAGCCTGTGAAGCTGCAACATAACGTTGTTCTTGAGGTGCAATACATTAAAGACCTGAGATACTGTGAAGAAATAAAAATGGTGGGTGCCAGCCACATCCACCTAGTCTCCAGAGCTGGATAAAGGGAAAACCAGTGGCCACATAAGAAGAGAGCCAGGCTTGGGCAAAAACTGGGTGGGTTTGGTTTGGTTTTTTTGGTTACACATGGCTATTGTTGCCAATATGGAAATTTCTGGAAGCCAGATATAAGTATTTATTATAGTTTCGTGCTTAATGTGTACAGAATGCTGAATGTTGTTGGAGCAGATCATAGTGGAAGTGAAATGGGGGGTTTGGAAACCTGAATAGTACTTTACAACGTTTTGTTGCCAGCTCCACTTGCTCAGTTTAGATATCTGTAAGGCAGTGAAAGACAGGAGTGCCTGGCGTGCTCTGGTCCATGGGGTCACGAAGAGTCGGACACGACTAAACAACTAACAACAACAACAACAGACAGGTAGTTATTTAAAAGAATATTAAAAAAACTTGCTTCAAGAAAACTTTGACTCAAATTTCTCCCTTAAAATTATCTTTCATCTCCCTCTGTTACTTAAAATCTACTGGAGGAGAGGGAGTGAGGTTATCACCCAGATGCAAAGGAAGAGGTAGGATGTCTATAACCCATAAAACATTTTGACTTCCTTAGTAGCAAATTATAATCTCTGAATTCTGATTCACTGAAACCTACATATACAAGTATGGCAGAACATGATTCAGTCAAAGGTAAGTCTTGATAGTTATCAATTATTTCAATGGGAGCCTAAGAGCTGCTGCACACATCACATTTTTAAGTGTGCATATAACTATATAATGCAAAAAGCTCTTTGAGATCTACTCAGAGAGACAGAAGCGTCTATAGCTCCTTGTTGAATTCACACTCAGTGGCAAGCATTAGTCTGCTGCCATCATCTGTGTTATAGCCAACAGGTGTATGCTTAAAAATTTCCCCACTCAATGGGTCTTAAAAGTGCTTCTGTAATGGGATTGTGCCATGTTTTTCAAATGTCGCGTGTCAATAAGCACATAAGAGGCCTCTTATCTGTAGCACTGTTTTTCTTTAATCAATATAGTTCTGCACATAACATGTCTGAGATGCAACCCAAGCCATTTTCCAACAAAAGTTTGCACGTAATAGTAAAAATAGAAAATTATTATTTTAGACACAACGTTCAGCACCCTTTTCCTATTTCTCTTTTTTTGCCATCAATCACAACCATCGGAGTTCTGTGACTGATGTGTGCTGACTGACAACAGAAAGAAAAATTTTGAGGCGTTAGTGAAATGACAGAGCTGTCATGGCTGCCTCAAAAATGAGAAAGAATAGATAACACTTTAGAAGGGCGGGAGCGGGAAGTCAAAGACAGACAGCACTGAAGTCCTGTTAGCAGAAGTGTTCAAAGTACCATCTGCCCTATTCTGAGTGGTTTGGCCTATCTGGCTGACATGGTTAAAGGAAACCAGTTTTTAAAACCTGAAATACATGAATAAACAATGCAAGTCAAAAAGTCCTTTTGAACTCTTCTAAATATGAGATTTTGTGACTTACGACTCACAGATTATTAGTGATGTTATTACTATTGTCTTTACTACTACAGTTTTACAGTGGTACCTCTGGATGCAAACGGGATCCGTTCCAGAGCCCCGTTCGCATCCTGAGTAGAACGTAACACCCGACTGCGCGTCTGCGGGTCATGTTTCGCTGCTTCCGCGCATGCGCATGATGTCATTTTGAGCGTCTGCGCATGCGTGAGCGGTGAAACCCGGAAGTAACACGCTCCATTACTTCTTGGTCGCCACAGAGCGCAACCCGAAAATGCTTAACCTGAAGCTACTTCAACTCGAGGTATAACTACTATTGTAAGGCTATATAAGTACAAGTAGGTGGGTTTGGGGACTGGCAACATGGAGTGAGTCAGGAAGAAAGGCTGAGGATCCTGGACAGAGCCAGCAGCTTTACATAACCAGATGGGAAATTAATGGCCAGTTGTTCAGTCACTTGGCCTCTGCTGAGCTGGGGGCTGTAATATGACCCTATTGCCCTCTGTAGTAAGGGTGCTGAAGTGCAAAATAGAATGAGTGGGCCACTCTGTTTCTGGTCACAATGGAGTACATAGGATAGCATCTGCAAAGCTTGGCTAGAAACTACGCAGAGATTGCTGGTACTTTATACTCTACTGCCTATTCCTAGCTTCTGTTTTTTAACTCTTCAAAACTCTGCAAAATGCATTTGACCAACAACGGTGGGACGTAGAAAATGTGTGCACAGGCCCCAGGCCATAATGCCCCTGTGATTCCAGCTTTAAAATATGTGTTTCCATCCAGTCGGAAGTGATGGTAAACCCTACACCACTTTCCATAGCGTAGGTCTCTCCCTCGACATTGTAAGAAGCAACAAAACAAACCAGAATTGTCAATATTGGTTTAATAATTTCTCCCTTTAAAAAAAAAAAACATGCAGATGTTCTCTGTTAGGGATGAATTTTCTTTCATCTCCCAAGACAGCATAAAAGAAGCAGTCTTTTGGCTTCGCCCATAGGGCAAAGCATCTCCCCCAGTGGAACCCTGTTAGTAAAAATAAAGCAACTGAAACCCAGTCATAGAAATCAAATGGGAATGTTAAGCATAACAAATTGCAGTTTAAGTCCCAGCTCAAGTATTTTCCATAGAAACCTATGATAGATGCGTTTGCCAGACCAGGAAACCCCATCACAGCATGCAAAAATTCTCCTTTTTTGTTACAACCCACAAATTTCTACAGGATTGCTGATTGATGTAACCCTTGGATTAGAAATACACAACATGAAATAAAGTTCCCAGAGTGGAAAAAAGGAACTCCTTGATGAGACTGTTGAAAGAGCGATAAAAGCTTCACTCAAGGACTCCACTTTAGTATCAGATTGTGGGAAACTTTCATTTAAACAGCCCAATGGAGTCCATTAGCCATCAATCTGCAGGCACTAAATAAACCCTTAACACCTCTTCTTAGAAACTGCAACATAATCATCCCGCCATCCTGCTGGAGTTACTGACAAAAAGAGCTGTTGAAGATTGGAGAAAGTTTATGGGGAGGGGGGAATTTTCCTCCCAATACAACTGCCCACAATAAAACTATGCAATTTTGTTTCTTCAACAGCCAGTTTAGTAGGCACAAAACAAAGATACCGTCACTTCAAACAAACAAGACAATAAAGAGAGAGAGAGGATTGTTTTGGGGGGGGCGGATCTGTCATTTCACAAGATTATGGACCTGATATTCAACCGGATAGGCCCTAGTACAACTCTGACTTGAAAACTGGAATTTGTTTTTAAACGTAAAGCTTGTCTACAAAGTGGCCTGATGAATGTACAGTGGTACCTCTGGTTACATACATAATTTGTTCCGGAGGTCCGTTCTTAACCTGAAACTGTTCTTAAATAAAATTTATTATTATTGCCAATGGCTTCAATTAATTAATTTTATAATGAATGATTTTAGAATGTTGTTTATGCTGTACTTTTGTACTGTTTTATTGTTGTTAGCCGCCCTGAGCCCGGCTTCGGCTGGGGAGGGCGGGATATAAATAAAATTTATTATTATTATTATTATTATTATTATTATTATTAACCTGAAGCACCACTTTAGCTAATGGGGCCTCCTGCTGCTGCCGCCGCGTGATTTCTGTTCTCATCCTGAAGCAAAGTTCTTAACCCAAGGTACTATTTCTGGGTTAGCGGAGTCTGTAACCTGAAGCGTATGTAACCTGAAGCGTATGTAACCTGAAGTACCACTGTAATGCTAAACTATGGCTAACATTATGTGCACAAGCCTTGTGGCATGTGCATTCCCCTTTCGCTTTCTTCTTCTAGCATGGACACAGACACACAGACACACACACACACACACACAGAGTTTTTGTTTCAATTTTCAGTTAACTGAAGTTGTTATATCTAAATTCAGACAAACTGTGGTTAGTGTTAACTACGACGAGGGAAACAACTTCAACCTGTGATTTACAATATTGGCTCGTATCCCTACACCATAACTGAATGTTAACATTAGCCACAGTTCTTGGTTTGGATAAAACAACTAACTATGGTTAGTTGAAAACATAAGGGAAAGCTTTAAACCCCTCTCTTGTAGCTGTTCCATAGGAGGAGTGTGTGGGCATGCCTGAGGATTTCCCAGTCTCACACTCATAGCACTAAACTGGTTTACTGTTACATCCAAACAGAGGGCTGCATTCAACCAACCCAGAGCACTAAAAGAAACCAGCACAACAACTCCTGCTGGCACAATGGGGCTTCCACCCCTTTTACCCTTGTGCTCCAGTTTCAAATATTATATTATTAAATGCACAATATGAAAGTGTACACCTAAAAATGGAAAGCACGAATCTTGCAGATAGGTTTACAAACTATGGGATTATGTAGGTATTAAGTGCCACTGAAACTTAGAACTTGGTGACAATAGTCTTATATTTTATTCCAAATGCCACAATTTTTAATCTTGTAAAAAAAAAAAACTACTCGTTACCTTCCCATGAGTTTGGGCATTTGTTCAATAATCCAGAATTAGACAAAGAAAAAGTACTTATCACTAATTAATATGGAGTGGTTTAGAAGAGGTAACAGTGGAACAACTAAGCATTGGGAATTGAATAATATACTCCTTCGCAACATATTTATGGTGGAAGCCATTAATGTCAGGAATATTTCACTCTTACTTATACACTTGTAATTTAGTTTTAATATGACAGGCTATATTTTAATATGGAAGGCCCAAAAGCAGCCATTTGGGTTTCAAAAGAGTTATTAGATTAACAGAAAAGCAACCACAAGTGAAACTTAGAAGCCTGACGTAAAAAGGATAGATGAGAATAAATACCGTAGGTATTACTAACAGCAAGAAAGAAAATGAAGCTGAAAGATTCCGATAAGCAGGAAAATCTCTGACCACTTTGAAACAAAAATATTTTGAGGAAGGTGAAAAAACATAACAAAAAATGTGAGCACAACTAGTTAAGTGACAAAAGAAGATTATATTTATAAGAGTTATAAGAGAGATAAACAGCTGAGGTGTGGAGGGGTAGCCAAGACACCAGGAGCCACAGAAGTTGCCTTCTAGAAGTATATAATGAATTGTATCAGACAAAGAATCTGAATGTCATATTTTCTTCTTCTTCTTTAAGAGTGGCTCAGCAGGATAAAGCTACATCACATGCTCATTAATGCTCAGAAAGCACTGGACCTAACACAAATCTTCAACACAAACCAACACATACATTTTTGCCAAGATAGTTAAGTATAATAGTTAAGTATAATAATAGTAATAATAATAAATGTTTATATTTTAGTTCCATGATAGCTAAGATAGTTCAGCAGAATCTATGCCAAAAAGTATTTCCTCAGTCATGGGAAGAGGCCAAGAAAATGGCAATATGCAATGAAGGAAAAAATCTCCCAAACCCAATTCATAAAGACTCTCTGATAAATAGAACGGTTGAGGTGAAAGTGCATTGCCCCCTGAAAAAATTATCCTCACTCTGGCAATTAATTTGTGACTCCTTGTGAAACGAAGTGACAATGTTTACCCACGCAGAATATAGGCAGGAAGCATTGTCTTCGATTTGATTTGGTTACATTATCACACAGCCAAATCCGATTAATTATTTGGTGATTAATTCTATTTGGTGATATGATATAATGGTAGCTATATGATTCCTGGCAGGATTTTAAAATAAATGGCACCAAAGCTGATACCAGGAGACGGAATGAAGTGTTGCAAAAATGTCTGATTGGAACTCTTTTGGAAGAAAACTTCTATGCTCAGAAGAGAAAATGTTTTCTTTTGTGTGCTTAGAAGTTTCCCTACTGAATTCTAGTGCATTCAGTAGCTTCCTTTTCCCTGCAATTGGTGCCTTCCTGCTTTTTCTGTTTTTGGAGTTCTTCTGCTCCCAGACTTTGGCACTTCCTCCTAGAGAAGCTAGACTGGCTCCTTCCTTCTTGTCCTTTCGCTCGCAGGTGAAGACTTTCTTGTTCCAACAGGCTTTTGGCACTAACTACTTTTAATGAAAGGGCTGGTGTTGTGCTGTTTTTATTGTAATTATTGGTATGTATATGATATGTATATAGCTTTAATGCTATCAATATTTAATTGTTTTTAATTATTATTTTCTATGTTCTTAATTATTCTTATTTTTATCTGTAAGCTGCCTTGAGTCTCATCAAGAAAAAAGTGTGTATGAATAAATAAATAAATAAAAACATCAGCAACAAATAATTATTTCAGGCTCCTCAAAACTCTTTTATGCGCCAAACATGTACACTCATGAAAACTCAAATCCAACTCTGCTTTTGGTTCATTTTAAATATTGCTAAGGCCTTTGATTGTGTAGGATGGCTATAGTTATTTAAATGATAAACAGTTCTTTAGTAATGGGCTTTTAAAATTAGACTAAACTGATTTTTGCTAACACAAAAGCCAGTCTAGCCACTAATTTCCCCCATATAGAATGATTTAGACCAACACAGGAATCCTTTATTTCAACTATTGCTCATTTTTTATATCATGTCAAACTATTCATGATTTGGATACCATGCCATTAGGGCACGGCAGTTAGAAAAAACACCTACAACAGGGATTCAAACTGTAATTGAAGATGTTAAATTTGCTATATATGCTGATGACATAAAGTTATAATTACAAGACCAATCAATCCAGTAGCACAATTTCTGCAAATGATAGGCTAGTTTAGTCAAATTTCTAGCTGAATGACAAGTTAGTATCATAGTAATCCAGGCATAGGCAAACTCGGCCCTCCAGATGTTTTGGGACTACAACTCCCATCATCCCTGACCACTGGTCCTGTTAGCTAGGGATGATGGGAGTTGTAGTCCCAAAACATCTGGAGGGCTAAGTTTGCCTATGCCTGTAGTAATCAGTAGCTCAAAAAGCAAAGTAACTGCCCAATATAGATTAAAATGGACAACTAAACCTATACAACTATTGGGAATAAACTCAGTTGTTAAAATTCAGGTATTTAAAATACAATTATAAAAATTCAGGTATTCATAATACAGTTATGAGTCTTTGGTAGAAGGAATTAAGAATTAAGTTTTTTTTCCATTTCTTAATGATTATTTAAAAAATGTAACTAATATAAGCTTTATTGTTTTGCATTCCTTGCCATTCGAGCTTCCTTCTTTCACTTACCACTTAATTACTCTAATATTAGTCCTGTGGGGAAACATTAAAATTTTAACAAAAACTAATCACCAATGTTAATTTGCACAAGAGAAAGGCCAAGGTTAGTTTTGGCACACCTAAATAAATAGCACAGTACAAATATGTTCAAAATTTGAAAATGCCACGCTCCAAGAGCATATTATTTATTTTAGGAACAGATGAAAGCAAAACTTATTTGAAAGTCAGATACATACACAGTCTCATGCCTCGTTCTCACTGATGTGCAAACATGTTAGTGGGGTATACCACCTCAGACTGCAGGTCAGGGCCAGCATGAATTAATGTTCCTCCAGACATTCCCATCTCCAGAAAAAAGCCACCACAAAGAAAACTATGGTGACAAGGATCGAGCTAGCTATGACCCTGACATACTATTTTTTCTGTTTTCATTTTGATAGCTTTCTAGAACTACTCAATAAAACTGATTGACAGAATGCTCAATCAAGATAGACAAGAGGGGTTGCTTCTCTATGCCATGTGTGATTAACTTGTGGAAATCACTGCCACATGAGAAGATGATGGCTGTTAGCTTAATTTTTTTAAGGATTAGATAAATAGGTCTACCAAGAGCTATTAATCACATTAGTTAAATGGATCCTCCATATTCAGAAGCAGCAGGACTAGAAAAATATTGGTCTGATCCAGCAAGTCAGTTCTTATGATAATCACTCATGGCTACCACAATATGTCCTTGGCTTTGGACTTTGCAAAAGGCACCCACACCGACAGCATATGCAGTCAAGGGACATGCTACACAGGATCCCTTCACGGCAGCCCAAATTCTTTTGAATGTCTAGTATGGTTTAAACAAAACAAACAAAACCGAAATAGCTCATAAACAAAAACAAAAAAATACACATACACATACACATAATATTACACATTCTTTACTCATCTATAGTCCCATCTCCTCAGGAA